TTGTATACTTATACATTAATACTAACATCTTAACAGATAAAAAGTAAAGAAGATAGTTATGTAAAATTTATAGTATACACTTACTCTCTTAACACATTCTAAAACTAATCCTTGCCTCTTTATTCTTTAGAATGTTAATAATAATGAGCTGTACACAGAAGAGCTGTCTGAGCTAGAGTTTGTTTGTGTAACTGTATTAGAAATTTCAGATAATGATTCTGATAGTTTACTTAAGCAAGCTTTAGAGTCAGGGTCTAACTGTTTTTCTCTTAATAATGAGTTGAACACTAAAGATTTTGAATCAGACAGTAAGTAATCTATTTTGTCCTTCAGTTGTTTTACTAACTTTTTACACATTACTACTTACAGTTACTTGAAAGGCAGTCAAGTTAAAGGTCAAAGTCAAATTAAAGTCTGACACAAAGATTGAAGTTCAGGTCTTAGATAGACTCATAACAAATTCTTTTATAATACATTTATCTTAGAAACACATTCTACTCATACATTACTTATCTACATTAATAGGAATACTAAGTAAATTGATTATTCTTGTTTATAAGGTACTATAGTGTAGAAAGTCTGGCTAGAAGATAGAACTGTATTATATTAAGAATGATAATGATCTAGAGTAGCTTTTTTTGTGTTACAAGGACTTTGTAGCTAAAGTAACACAAAAGAAGAAGAGAGTACTAGTAGTGTGTAACATTGTGTTAAGGAACTTAAATACACAGACTTAGGTAAGTTTATTAAATTCTATAAAGGTCTTTTGTATTCTAATAATTTATTTTCTTATAAAGCTAAGTAGTTACAAAGTACAGTAACAATCTAGTAGACCTAAGGTATCTATAATATTGTTAAAGAAAGTAAAATCAAATGTTAGTAACAAGCTTTCTGATTTCTGTAAAAGGTATCTCTACACTTACTATTAAAAGTATGAAGGTACTCATAGACTGTACACAAGCAATTACATAAGAGAGTATGTAAAGCTTTCAATAAGTACTTAATAATAAGGAATACAAGTGTACTAACATTTGTATAGCTTGTAGGAACCCCTAGTGTAACAAGTAAAGAGGTTCTAGAGTAACTCAAGATTCTTAATTATATAAAGCTCTCAAAATTAAAGCCTAAGTCAACTAATGTACTGTTATTTACTAATAATAATAGTACCAGTATTACACACACAAATGAAGGGGTAGGTTGTAGTCTGCTCTCTTTAGCAAACAAAACCATATGTTTAAAAGTTAAGAATTGGCTAGAAATGTGTATATTACACTTAGAGCACAACTAGGATAACTACAACTTCTTATTACTTATTCCTATTTTTGAGAAGCACAACTTTACTTAGGTTGATAATATAGCTATACTTCCTCTAAAGGATATTATAGACCTTACTTGTAAGGAGAGAGTTATTGTCTTAAAGAGTCTTACTAATTATATTGTATTATATGTAAATACAAATATTAAGCTCTTTAAGGGAAAGGGGAAGGCAGATCTTGATTAGTATTTCTAGTGTTACAATTTCTTGTGATTTTTTGTATCTACATGTGTATGTTGTATATAGTATTGAAATAAGTAAAATAAGACTGTTCTAAGAAACTTTACACTTAGTATTAGTTCAAGTTAAATGAGTGTATTATTAGTTTAATAAAGTAACAAATAAGTGTTCCTTATAGTATAAGAGTATAATATCATTACTCATACTTCAAATTACATTTATAAGGAAAGTTTACAATGTCTGTATCATAATTTACTAATGGTTATAATGCTGAGGTTGAGGATGTATAAGGGATCAGAGTACAATTACCTTTATAATAAAGTAAATACAGTATTACTGTCTCTCAAATTTGGAATACTGTGAAAGAAAGAAATATAATGATTTATATATCTTTCTCTGGATTTTATCCCTACTCTAGGGGAAACTACAGAATTTTCAAAAGAATATTAATTAGTTAGAAATTAGGCAGATACACTTTCCTTTTACTATATCTATCAAACAAGCCCTAGATCTCTCACTTTTTTTTCATATTATAATAAGTCTTTAACTTGTCTAATTTTTCATTGTTTAATTATGAGATAATGTCTTATATTGATGGAGAAATCAATGTTTTTCTGTAATTTTGACTAAGTTGAACACAACACAACAAAAAAATCATGTGCACTGCTATTCTAAGGAATTATGCAAACAGTAGTAACTGTACTGTCAGTCACATGTAATGTGTTGTCCCTCACATGAATTGTAAGGTTGTGTAATCATAGTTTTTACTCATGTCAAAAAATATTTTTTACAGCCATTTTCAAAATTGTTGTCACACGTGTGATTTGTGATTTTTGTCACACTAAGTACACTCAAATACAAAATCTACTATAATTCAACTAATACCTAACCAAATTACATGATCTAAGTTGTAAAAATTATATTTTTAAATTATCTTTCAAATTCCAGAAAAAACAAAGTAAATTGGGCAACATTTGAGTAAGATACAACACAATATGTGAGTTTTCCCTATATTTCTTGTATATGAGTTTTCCTGGCCCCAAAATTGATTGTACAATACTATAAGCTAATCTAAATGATGAATATTACTTTATTATTAATTTACATATTGAATTATAACTAGGGTACAGAGTATACATATAAGTATAATACATATTTAAGTTTGCTAAAAATGAGCATTTCCCCCTAACCTCTCTACAGTTAGGGAAGCTTCTCCTGAGTAAGGTAAGGAAAGTATAAACTTGACATAGTGTGATGCAACAGACTAACCCAATTTGGATGCAAACAATGATGGCAAAATACAATACTCAGTATCCCAAAAATGCAAATTTGAGCTGTATAAATATATTCAGCTAAATCTAACCTACAAAAGTATGTTTTTGATTTTTTAAAATATTGAGATTCGAGTGAGTTATTTCCAAAAAAAAAAAACTTATTTTTTTGGTACCAAATGTACAGAAATGCAATTTGGTGAAATTTTGAATTTTTTCCCAAAGATTTTTGCCACTTCAGTTAAATATCTATTATATAATTATTTCCTTATATAGAACACGTGTCTGATGAGTAATATATATTTGATCAGTAAATATCAGCTATTTAGACCCATTTTCCTCTGTTCTGCCTATAATGCCCTAGCAAAAGG